TCTTTGACTTTCTACAACTTTCTCCCATCTCCCGACTGCATCTCTGGAGCTCAGCCACAGTCATCTTTGGGTTCTTCTGTACCTCTCTCACCAAGGCTCTTCTCCCCCGATAGCTCAGTTTGGCCGGACGGCCAGCTCTAGGATGGGTTCTGGTCATCCCAAACGTATTCCATTTAAGGGTTATGGAGGCCACTGTGCTCTTAGGAACCTTAAGTGCAACAGAAATTTTTTGTAACCTTGGCCAGATCTGTGCCTTGCCACAATTCTGTCTCTGAGCTCTTCAGGCAGTCCCTTTGACCTCATGATTCTCATTTGCTCTGACATGCACTGTGAGCTGTAGGGTCTTATAGAGACAGGTGTGTGGCTTTCCTAATCACGTCCAATCAGTATAATCAAACACAGCTGGACTCAAATGAAGGTGTAGAACCATCTCAGGGATTATCAGAAGAAATAGACAGCACCTAAGTTAAATATATGAGTGTCACAGCAAAGGGTCTGAATACTTATGACCATGTGATATGACTGATTTGACTTTTGTTGTGATTTGGCGCTATACAAATAAAATTTGATTTGATTTGATGTGATATTTCAGTTTTTCTTTTTTAATAAATTTGCAAAAATGTCAAATTCTGTGTTTTTCTGTCAATATGGGGTGCTGTGTGTACATTAATGAGGAAAAAAATGAACCTAAATGATTTTAGCATATGGCTGCAATATAACAAAGAGTGAAAAATTTAAGGGGGTCTGAATACTTTCCGTACCCACTGTATGTGTTCACTGAACCACTGGTTAATATTTACTGTATTAGTCACTGAAGCATTAGACATTATAGTGTCTTGTCCACTAAATTACTGAATCTCATTAGATTTACAGCTCTGGCTAATAGAGTCCACAATGAATTTATTATCACCACTGGGCTAGTGGAGCTAGGGGAGTTGCAGGTCACTGGGACTCCAAGGTTAGTGAGACAGAGATTAGATCTGGAGGCTTGCGGAGGAGAAAGCTTCAATGGTAGGAGCATTATGCGCACACACACACACCAGCAGGACAGTTTTAATTAGAGAAACGCAAAGCAATGCCTAATATGGAGCAGTTAGTTGGAAACAAAGGAAGAAGTGTGTGTACAAATGTAGGAATTCAGGCAGTATAGGATTTCTTCCCCTTCCTAGGGTGCTGTCTTGGACAATTGGACCAGAGAGGACGGACGGACTGAAGGACCAATGGAACAGCACGGGAGGCACCAGATCAACCCACACTGCACATTTCAAAATTGTATAAGAGATTGAGTTCCAGGGTAGGCGTTCCGCTTGTCCTGAAGACGAGTTGAATGGTTTTGCTGTTTAGGTTCAGGGCTTCAGATAGAGACAGAACCCAGAGCTCTGTAAATTGCTTTATTCAATTGTCCATTCAATTGTGATAATAAATGTTTAAAATTGATACTTGACTCCGATTATTCTTCATAAAAGAACACACTGCAATTACCTAGGAGTACATGACAGGAGCCGAGCCGCAACATTCTGTACAAGTTGTAGCTTCCGAAAGAGGGATTTCGAAATACCGACGTAAAGGGCATTGCAGTAGTCCAGTCTGGATGTAATAAAAGCATGAATTGCTTTTTCTAATAAACTCAAACTCTCATGTAACAAACTTAAGAACAGAACCAAAAACCCTTAATACAAGTAAAACAAAAAAAACCTCAGAGAAACAGACCAAAGGAATCCAGCGCAGGAACAAACAAAAGAAGGAATCAAACTTATGGGAAAACGTGAACTGCCAGGGTGTGGCGAATGGACGTAGCAAGCAGACGACAGAGGCAACAAGGTGTGGAGACAAAATTAACCAGCAACGAGACTGAGGGAGGGGAGGAGGATATAAAGGGAGAACACCAGGGGATGAGTAACAGGTGGAAACAATGAATGGTGATTGTGACCGGAGTAACACTGGGGCAAGTGAAGTGACAAAGCACAAAACAGGAAGCCAGATCACAAAACATAACACCTGGCTGCTATCTAGATAGCAGAGATCAGCTCCACAACCTGCACCTGTTACAGTGCTCAACGGGACTAGGACCCAAAATGCAGACCAGGACTCAATAAAAGTTAGAAAGATTTTATTGACAGGAAAAGGGTACAAGACACTGGAGTGTAACTGTGGTGCCAAGAACACTCAGGTGAATCAGAAAGGCCGGGGAGACCAGGGACGAGGCAGGCAGGCGGAGTGCAGGCAGGCGGAGCAGAGTGAACAGGGAGATCTTTGGTAGCATCTTAACGATGCTACCGAAGATTGTCGATAGATCAGCAAGTGACTGAGGAAAAGGAGGTGGTATATATGGTTGAAAAAAAACGGAGGATGATTAGCAGCAGGTGAGGACAATGAACACTGATTGAAACCATGGTAAAGCTGGGGCAGGAGAGGTGGAGCGGAGAAGGAAAGCAAACCAAAACAAAAGCCTGAACACCGGAGGTGAAGCTGAAACATAACAGCACCCAGTGAAGCAAGAGTTTAATAAAGACTAAAAGGCCCTAATAATTCTTCTTCTTAAAATGGAACTTGTAATACACACAAGAGGTATTAAAAACTAAAAAAAAAAAAAGAAATTCAAAGACTCGTTCCTGTCATGACACTCATTCCCAAAAGGTAGGCCTGATAACATGGGCCAAATAACTCCCTGATTGCCTCTTGTGGCAATCCTTAATCTCAAGGAAGGCTTTGCTAAACATACCAAACAGTACTTCTTTATTTCTCCTGTGCTTTATTCTTAATAAAATCCAGAAGAAAGAAGGCAATGTTCAGACAGTAAAAGTGTGTTGTATACTATAAATAGGACTATGGACAACAGACAACTTTCTGTTGTGATTGTGTGAACATCAGTGCTGCCAACTGCCAGCAGAGCACAAGCACAGTGAAGAATTGCTACAAAGCAGAAATGATCAATTCACCTTCATCAATGATGCCCGGGTCTACAAGAAAATGCCCATACACCGTCTTGGTGACTGTTCCCAGGGGATTGCTGGCCTCCAGAGTGTAGTTGCCGTTGTTGATATGCGTTGGGTTCTGTAAGATCAGACAGCCCTCCAGATAGTCCTGGTAGAAGTCCATCTCAGTTCGAACGTAGTCATTCTGGAGAATTTCCTTCTCTTTGTGGAACCAGCGCAGCTTGGGGTGGGGGTAACCCCTAACTGTGAACTCAATGCAGGTATAGTGGCGCTGCTCTGGCTCTGCCAGTCTCAGAATGACTGGAGGAACTGCAATGAGGAAGAAAAAACATTCTATTTACACAAAATTTTAACAATTTAAACACTGACAGA